TGGATCAAGTGCAAGTCTGTAAATAAGTACAAGAGCCATTGTATCTCACAAGAAGTGGATGCAAGGGCTCTATATTCAGCCTCGGCTGAAGATCTACTAATTGTAGATTGTTTCTTGGATTTCCAAGAGATAAGGGAATCACCAAGAAAGACACTATAACCAGTTAGACTCTTTCTAGTGTCCAAACATCCAGCCCAATCACTGTCACTATAGGCATGTAATTGTAATTTTGAAGTTCTTGGAAAAAAAAAGTCCCTTACCTACAGTACCCTTAATGTACCTAAGTACTATATATATGGGTTGCAGATAAGTGATGTTTTGAAGGATTAAACATAAATTGACTAAAGATATGGACATTATAAGCTATATCTGGTCTAGAGATGGATAAGTATAAGAGTCTACCTACCAATCTCCTGTATTCTGAGGCATATGTGGGTTCAGCTAACTTATCTGTGGAGCTGAGTTTCAAAGTAGAGTCCATGGGAGTGCTAGCAGATTTACTACCAAGGAATCCTGTGTCTTTTAAAATATCAAGAGCATACTTTCTTTAGCACATGTTGATGCCTTTGTCAGAATGGGCAAATTCAATGCCTAAGATATATTTTAAAACACCCAGGTCCTTTATAGTGAAACAGTGATCTAAGTATGATTTAATGGCAGCTATTTTCTCAAAGTTATTGCCAGCAATAATCACATCATCCACTTAAACAAGTACAGCAATAAAAATGTTCCCATCAGAAAAGGTAAACAATGAACAGTCAGCCACAGATTGATGAAATTCATAGTCAAGTAAACAAGTAGTGAGTTTATAGAACCATTGTCTTGAGGCCTGTTTTAGGCCATAAAGACTTTTGGTTAGCCTACAAACTCTGTTGTCATTTTTACCACAATATCCAAGGGGGGTTTCATATAAACCTCTTCATCTAAGTCCCCATGCAAGAATGCATTGTTAACATCTAATTGGTGGATAGTACAGTTTTTAATAGATGCTAATGCAACTAAAAACCTGACAGTAGTAATCTTGGCCACAGGAGAAAAGGTATCAAAATAGTTTATACCTTCCTCCTGTGTATAGCCTTTGGCAACTAGCCTGTCTTTATACCTTTCAATACTACCATCTGATTTATATTTTATTTTATATACCCACTTACAACCAATACAATGTTTACCTTTAGGGAGATCTGTCAAGTACCAAGTATTGGTTTTATCTAATGCATCAAGTTCCTTTTTCATTGCAGTTTGCCAAAGTGGGTCTTTGGCAGCTTGAGTGTAAGAAGTAGGTTCAGTTTGTTTTGAAATAGCTGCAGTGAAACAGGAATGTGATGCAGATAGATGTGATGTGGATAGATAATTTTGAATGGGATAAGGAGTTGTCCCAGAAATGCAATGTTCAGAGGAAACAGTATTGGAATATAGTTTGACTGAATGATCATATATGTCCAAGTAGGCTGGGATCTTGTGAGTTCTTGTTGATTTTCTTGTGGGAGCAGGGTTGGAGGAGAGAGGTAATATTTGAGTGGTAGATGGAGTAGTGTTGGGAGTCTGATTGAGAGGCGAAGGTGTAGGTATAAGGGGAGAATTTGTTGTATTATGAGGAGAGTTTGTAGTAATAGGAGGAGAATTTGTAGGTATATGAGGAGTGTTTGGTAGTTGCAAAGGGAAAAATAGTTTCATAGAACTGAACATTTCTGGAAATTACTGTACTCTTGGTATCCAGGTTGTAAAGTTTGTAACCTTTACAACCCAAGGGATATCCAAGAAAGATGCATTTAGAAGCTCTAGGTGCAAATTTTGATCTATGAGCAGTAAGAGTAGAAGCATATATAACACAAGCATCCAATAACTTTCAGATGATCATAAGTAGGCAGTTACCATACAACACTTCAAAAGGAGATTTATCATGCAGAATAGGTGTTGGAATTCTATTGATGATGTGTGCTGCAGCTAATACCATGTTGAGATTGAATGAAGCAACAAAAGAATCTGGAAAAGTAGAAAAGAAGAGAGAGACGCAGCGTTTGAGAGAAAAGAAAAGAACGAGAAAATGAATGAATGAATTAGGGTTTGGTTACAAGATGCAACTATTTATACTCTAACCTATTAACAACTTTAACTAAAGTTGTTGTACAACAATTAACAATTTACTACAAGCTATTAATAGTAAAGTAAAGAACACTTTTACAAGTATGCCTTGACACTTTTAATAAGATAAAACAACAACTCTCATAAACCCGGTCAAATCCGTCATTAACTCGGTCGATCTGGGTTTTGATCTGGTTGGGTCAACTTGATTTGATCCAATCACAATATTATTTATGTTTCTTTTTTTATATTTTAAATAAAGTTTATGTGGTAAATGATTATTATGAGATACAGTATTAATAACATTTGGTGTATAAATTTAGAGATAAAATATTTATATAATAAAAACACATAATTTTAAAATTTTTTAAATTAATTACTCGATTCAACAATTAATCACGTGTTCTCACGATTGAACGGTAATCCGGGGGTGGGCCTGCCCAGCCAACCCACACGCTTGGTTTAAAAAATACTGCCCCCGGCTTGAAGATGAATGGGGTATCAATATTTTTTTCATTAATAAGATCTTAAATTTGTGTTGTTGAAATTGTTGAAAATATAATTATATTCTTATGAATATTATTAGTTTTTAAATTATTTCAGGGCCTCCAGTGTTCTTAAAAATCGTGTTTTTTTCAGTTTTGGACCTGTCATATTAAATTATTTAGTTATAATTTTTTTTTATTATAGTACACGATGACTAATTACACTACAAAAAAAACTCTTAACATTCCAATGGAAATTTTCCGTTGAAATTTTTTATATTTCCATTGGAATAGCTATTCCAACGGATATTCCTACGTATAAAAATCCGTTGGAAAAACGGCCGTTGAAATAGCAAATATACAACGGAAAATCCTATGGAAATAAATTCCTATAGCTATTCCAACGGAAAAAATCCGTTGGAATTCCTCAACTATCCAACACTTATTCCAACATAAAATTAAGTTTGTTGGAATATTCATTGGAATTTCCAACGAAAATTTTTACCGTTGGAATTGTAGTGTTTTATTGTAGTATTAGTAACGAATTATGTTTTGTATAAACAAAGCTTTTTTTTTTTTTTTTTTTTGTTATAAACAAAGCTTTATCTTCAAAGTTTGAGCACTTATTTTACTACAAATGTCAATTTAATTTTTTTAGGGTTCTTTTCAAATGAAAAATTCTACGTCTAGACTAAAAAGGCTAGGTGCTGCCCATAACTTCCTTAATAAAATTATGATTATACTGTAAAATATCATAATTTTTTATAAATATTTTTTAAAATATAAGATTTTAAACATACACATCCACTTATCTACAGTGGTGGCCTGTATTTAGGTCCGGGGGACCATGCCCCTCCACCCTCAAATTTTCAAATTTTATTATTTAACATATATATATATATATATATATATATAATAAAAAAGATGAAATAATAAAATATGAATATAAATATAAAATATTTGAATATATATTATAAAAAAGATAATACCTATGCTAACTTAATTTAAATTATTTCATAAAGTTATGTTAGAAAAATTAATATCTCTACATTTTGGCTCAATTTTTGAAAATGTTTTTTAACATTTCACTTTGAACTTTGGGTTTTTTCATTGTAAACCGATTTAATAAGATCCGTAACCAAGTAT